CTGAAATAAAAAATAAACAAGAACAATTAAAAAAAAGACAAACAAAAACAACCAATGACACAGGTAACAAGTAGAAAGATAAAGATAAAAATAAAAGCAATACTCTATTTATTAACCTAATCAGTCTGACACAAGGCCAAAAGTGTGGGCCGTACTGGGTATGGCGATAAACTACATGCACGACTTGTGTAATAAAGTAAACTACATCTGACAGCAGGGCATTTGATCGGGAGATTTTGTGGAACATGGAACCACCTCTTAATTGCTGGTGTTCCCAGGTCCAAAATGACCCAGGGTGGTAGCACGTGTTAGGGTCCCAGCTATGGGCAAATATTTACCCCCACCACCACCACAAAGAGAGTCAAAACATTATGAAAGTATAAAAATAGGTTTTAATACGGCAATAAATTTTTGGAAAAATGATTACCAGCATACATTTTTGAAAAAGAAAAATATTACCAGCAGTACTTTTTTGGAAAAAAACTAGTATCAGCAATAAAAATCTTATCAGCATTAAACAACCTATTGAGGTTGATATGCAGTAAAGCAAAACAGTCTGACACAAGGCCAGAAGTGTTGGGGGGTAGACTTTCTGCCTTGCGGTAGAAACTTCGGTTACAAATTCGAAAGAGAGTTCACTTCCCTCTGGAGCAATGGGTTAGCAAGTTCATTTTGTAGACCATTACTACTACTGTACAGAGTCCACCTCTCCCTGTATGCTCCACAACTGTAGACTTATGCCAACTATAGCCGAATAAATCACGATAATGAATACCGTATTGACCTATAATTGATTGTTGGATTAGTTTTTTACGGTTTATCAACCTGTGTGTGTGTGTGTGTGTGTGAGTGAGTGAGAGAGAGAGCCCGAGTTTGTGAGAGAGAAAGAGAGAGAGAGAGAGAACGCGCGAGTTTGAGAGAGAGAGAGAGAACGCCCGAGTTTGAGAGAGAGAACGCCCGAGTTTGAGAGAGAGAACGCGCGAGTTTGAGAGAGAGAGAGAACGCGCGAGTTTGAGAGAGAGAGAGAACGCGCGAGTTTGAGAGAGAGAGAGAGAGAACGCGCGAGTTTGAGAGAGAGAGAGAGAACGAGCGAGTTTGAGAGAGAGAGAGAGAGAGAGAATGCGCGAGTTTGAGAGAGAGAGAAAAAATTTTTTAAATCGTAAGTTTTTTCGAGATCATGATTTCGTGATATAGGTCTTACTAATTAACCCATAGCTGGGGGGATTCACACCATACCACGGGTATTTGCACGTAAGGTAATATAACGAACTCAAACAAAAATCGTTACACCACCCGCACACCTAAGCTTATTGCATCTGGCATTCCGAAGCGGTCACCTATCAAGGCACTGACCAGGCTCGACGCTGGTTAACTCTGATGTATAGGGAGCAGTGTTTGAACATGATATGACGGCAAGCTGAACTTAGTGAAGCGAAGCTTCATTGTATGACGCACATTTTTTAAAACCGTTTCACCCCCAGACTAATTTTATAAAAATGCCTAAAATTGATTTGGAAATCTGATCAAGGAAGTGGACAGATTTTTAAAAAAATGATAAAAAGGTGATGTTAGTCGTTTCCTTCTAAGGAAACATTCAGCATTTCTTGAACAATCAACCAGTGCTACTAGCAGTTGAAAGATATAAAACATTTCTATTAACACAATTTTTTTTCAGGAAAATAGGTTTTTCAAGTCCTCTGTTATCGCTAATTCCAGAATTGATATGGGTTTCCTTCCTAACCTTTTATTTGAAGTAGAGTGGAACGTCAGCATCTTTATTATTTTATTTTCACAGAGTTACGTTTGCTATGCATTTTAGTTGCTGTTGAAAGTTCTCAAAAGATTTGATTTCTGTCATTTGGTATAGTTCTTTGTGATTCTGTCTACGATGGTCTAATGTAAGAACTGCAACTATTTTTAGACATTTATCAGCGATAATATATGACATCTACATCAACTCCTAAGTTGACATCTACGCTGACGACACTACTATTTACTCTTACCTCAATAGTAGATCCGTCATCGTTGGCAAAACTAACCTGGCCTTAAGGCCTCTAGAAGGACCTCCAATCTGTGGTTGATTGGGGCAGGAAATGGCTTGTAAACTTTAATGCCTCTAAAACGAAACTGTTCTCAGTTACCCACCATAGAGAACCCTTTCTGCCTCCCATCAGTATGGCAGATGCCCAACTCCACGAGAGCGCCTCTCTGCGCCTGTTTGGTCTCACGTTGACCACTGACCTGAAGTGGAACAACTACATTGAATCTATAGCTTCATCTACCGCAAGAAAATTTGGTTCTGTGTCTCGTCAGAAGGTTTTTTCTCGTCTGAGTCCATCCTTCAAATCTACAAATCAACCACTCGTCCTTGCAGGGAATATTGCTGCCATATATGCTATGGTGCTCCTGCTGTTCATCTCGAGGTCCTCGACAAAATCCAGAGGCGGATATACAATGTCGTCCTGATCTGGCAACCCGTCTGAGGTCGCTATCTCACAGACGTGCTGTGGCTTCCCTTTTTTCTACAAGTATTTTCATGGCAACTGCTCCGACGAGCTACTTTCACTGGTTCCCAAACTGCATGAATTTAAGCGCGCTACTAGGTTGGTATTTCGGTCCCACACTTTCACTGTAGAAACGACTAAATATAGCCATCTCTTCTACCCCAACAGTTTCTTAAACGCACCTCCCGTCAGTGGAAATCCCTTCCTATCATTTGTTTCCATGATCTTCAAATATAATGTCAATCGACATTTTCTGATGCCTTGATCTTTATCCCTGTCCTTCTCTTAATCCTTTTCTCAAATTACTCTTACTCTCAATCCTCTGTAACCCCTTGCGTGCTAGCGGCACTCCCGCCTGGTTGGGGCGATTTGCTTAAAAGAAAATGGAAAGGAACATAACTCAACTCCTTAAGTTAATGTTATGGTTTCAAAGCATCGAGTGTGTTAGACAAAACTACCTCTAGCGCCTCCTATTTTATGTTCAATTTCCTTATCTTTCCAACAATAAATTTGTTATAACTGATGAAAACATTGATTTCGTTGAATTGTTCATTTATTATTTCCGAATTCAGAATTTTTATTATGGATTCCCGGTAGTTGCCGTGTCCTGGGTATGACGATAAACTACATCCGCGTCCTGGGTGAGACGATAAACTACGTCCAGCAGCAAGGCCTCTGATCAGGAGGTTTTGAGGAGCGTAGAACCACCTCTTAATTGCTGGTGTTCCCAGGTCCATCCTGACCAGAGGTGATATCACCGGTTAAGGTCCCAGCTATGGGCAAATAGTTAACACACAAACTTGTGTAAAAATAGGTTTTAATACTAGAAATACTTTGTAATAAAAAAAATATTACCAGCAATCATTTTTGAAGGAAAAAATTATTATCAGCAATACTTAAAAAAATACCAGCAATACAAACAGCTATACATTCTTTGGAAAAAAATATGACCAGCTATAGATTTCTTCAAGGAAAAATATTCCCAGAAATAGATTTTTGAAGAAAAAACATCACAAGCAATAAAAATTTTGTCGGCATTAAATAACCCATTGAGGTTGATATGCCGTAAAATCAAATCAAAGCAAACCAGTAGTTGACATCATTGTTAGTACATTCATAATACTAGTGTAGTACTTGTTCCACATTAGCGGGGGCCCCCAGAGGATCTAATGTGAATATCAAAGTGTCTCGCGCTATATCTATTATTGAAGTTTATTAAGATTTTTACGACTTTATTTGCGATTAATATTTTCGAAAACCCTACCTGATATCATATCCAAAACTTTTCTTTTCGAATTGGAAAGTTTTCGAACTTCTGCAACGGTCCTTCAGGTGTCGTATATAGAGTTGACTGCAGCTAATAGTTCTACAATTTCTATGGGACAAGGTGGCTGTTAGTCACCAATTTGTAGTCCGTTCTGGGTATGACAAACTACATCCGACAACAAGGCCTCTTATCAGGAGGTTTTGACGAGCGTGGAACCACCAATTGATGATGTTCCGAGGTTCACCCTAACCCAGCGTGGTACTACCTGTTAGGATCAAGGCTATGGGTAAATAGTTAACCGCTAAACTGGGGTCCAAACACCATAAAAGTGTAAAAAAATAGGTTTTAATACCATACTTTTTTTGATAAAAATATTACCAGCAATACATTTTTGAAAAAAAAAAAAAAAAAAAAAAAAAAAAAAAATATTAGCAATAGATGTCTGAAGAGAAAAAAAAATACCAGCAATAGATTTTTTGAAGAAAAAATATTAGTCGCAATAAAAATGTTGTCGGCATTAAATAACCCGTTGAATGAATTCAACATTTTCAAAAGAAATGAATTTCAACGCGTGGAAATATATTTATATATAAAAAAAAACATAGATCGCAAGATAGAAAATTATATTTGTGCGTGTACAGATAACTAAAAAAAAAAAAAACATACCCCCCACCCCCCAAAAAAACATTTAGGTACTTAGCCGTAGTGTTTTGTGCATGTGCGATGTCCACGTGGTTTGTTTGAAATTAACTAGTTGGTTTGCCGGATAACTAAGTCCCCCCTTCCAGTGGGGAAGAGTGAGCATATGAGAGCTACCCACCTGCCATATGCCGTTTCTGAGGAAGGAAGAGGTGTGAGTGAGTCCTTCCTTTTATATGCCTTAATAGATCGCCAACTAGAAAACGTCCTGGCAAACGAGGTGAGACAATTTTCACAAAAACAAATCAATTATTAATGAACGGCAATACCTCTGTAAAGAACCTTATAAACCAAGGATCGGCCACCCTCGGCGCGCGGACCGTATTCGGCCTGTCAACTTAATACTAATTATCTAATTAGTATCGTATACACACACATTAGCCACTTCAAGGTTAAGAGGTTTCTGGAAAAAATTTCTCTTACAACGTAGGGCATAGGTGTGGGCAGAAGAAGTGAATTCTTAGCTTTCCCAAGAGTATTTACACAAGTATGTTTTAAGACATTTTTTCTGTTTATACGTTCTTTTTTAT